ATGCCATTGGCCTGCTTGCCCACCTGGGCACACACTGGATCATGTTCAGCCACCATCGACCAGCACTCCCAGGTCCCTTTCTGCCTGGCTGCTCTCCAGCCACTCTGTCCCCAGCCTGTAGCGCTGCAGGGGGTTGTTGTGTCCCAAGTGCAGGACCCAGCACTTGGCCTTGTTGAACCTCAGCCCATTGCCCTCAGCCCATCGATCCAACCTGTCCAGATCCCTCTGCAGAGCCTTCCTGCTCTCCAGACTTAGCCCCAACACCGAGCCCTGGGGAAAATCACTGGTGACCGGCCACCGACCAGATTTAACACCACTCACCAGAACTCTCTGGGTTCAGCCATCCAGCCAGTTTTTTACCCAGTGAGCAGTAAAGCATTATAAACACTGTTGCAAAATAATTCTGAATCCACCACCATCAGCATTGTGGCTAATGCATTGTCCACTGTTGCTTAGGTTGAATTGGGAAGTGTCCTACAACGCCATCCTATTTGATGGATGTTTTTAGAAATGTACCTTTGATTGCTACTGAGCTGCCTACTCAATTGCTGTAATCTTGCAAATTCAGTTGAAATAAAGAAAAAGGCATTGATTCTGTGCTTTGCAAGTCAAAGATAAAATCATACAAGACATTCCAGAAAATGGAGGCGGAGGGTGGGGGGTTTCACTGGAAAAAGCTACTGGAAACAATTAATTTGTATTACTGTTATCTTGTTCTACCCTCACATTTTGTGGCCTTCTTGGTTCAGGCTTGGCAGACACATTAGAGATGAAATACTTTAACAGTCTAGAGATACAGTGTTCTTTCACAGCGCTCCAGTCCATTACAGCCAGGCAACTAATCCATGGCATGCTCTGGCTTTAAACAGCCATCCACGACAGCTTGGTGGGAAAAAAAAAGAATATCTGAATTTTATTTTATTTTTTTCTCAAAACTGTACTTGCTCAGAGTTTTAAGTTTCAAAGTACAAAACAAGCAGATAATCTGTCAGCTAATTCAGATTTTTTTTTCCCCAGACAGGAGTTAAAACAATTAACATGGAGCAACTAAAAAAAATTAACAAGATGTCACAGAAGTCGAAAGGAGACGAGACCTTCTGTAACTAGGGGAGTGGACAGCTGTTAAAGCAATATCCCAGAACATTATAAAAAACTAGGTGCGGTGATAACTAAAATTGCCAATGAAAAAAAAATCCCTTAAATTGCATATATTGGCCTGTGGCTGCTGATAATTCTTCACACTAAAAAGCAAGGCTTTCAAGCTGATAGATTCAATACATAGCACATCGACCAATGAGTTTCAGGAAAAACACGGATCATAAAATATGCATATGGTGATTAAGATAGTTATTAAATGGAATCTGTTTTAGCAGTTTTACAAAATAGTTTTCCATCAATTTGTCCCATTGCTGTGACCAGAATCACATCAGAGCAGTCACTCTACAGCTCTGTGCTCCTGTCTTCAGCACTTACTAGAGCAAATATGTGTGACCACAATTTCGTGTGCTTGGAAAAAAGATGGGTACAGAGATTTAATGCACAGGCTATGGCACCGAATCCCAAATGGCATCTCTGACCTCCTCAAACATATTATTTCTCTTTTTAGAAATATAGAAAAACCTGTTTCTTCTTCTTCTTTAAATATGGAAAAATATTCAAAGGTGTCTTCTTGATCAAAACCTAAACAACGTAAATTCCAATAACAGTAAGCTCTCTATTAATTTTTATCATCCTATAGCTAAGAAAAATTAAATATTCCTAAAGTGAAGAGTCAGAATTTTGGCTTATAGCTTTTCACAGAATTTTGGGAAATTATTTTTCAAAACTTTTTTTTCACAGAACTCTTTGACAGAGTGATGGTACCATAACAGAAGAGGTAAACTCTAACTATTAGAACAGATTATCACCATCATTTCACATTTGGAATAGAAAGTTTCAATAAAAGGAGAAAGAATTCCATTGTAATGTAAGAAAGTAGATTTATTTAAAATATCATCTAATAAAATGAGGGCAATCCTTTGTTTAATGAATTCCTGCAATCAATAAGAAACATTCAAATCTTGAAATCATATTGTAATTCCACTCCATTCTTAAAGGCTTTTCTATACAAAGAACTTGACTAGAACAACTATTACAAAATAAGATAGCTATTCTTGACCAGCGTTTTGTGTGCAGATGTTAATCATAGACTGTTTTTATTATTCTAAAAAGGAGTCTCTATGGAAAGTTCTATGGAAAGTTCTCCAAGAATAACTGTTAAACTGAGCATCTCAAACAAATTCTTCCATGTAGGCCTCTGTGTGCTCTTTAATGAAAATATTTTTGCTACATTCAACTTTAAAAGATTAAAAATATGGAGAGCAGTCTTGTGCTATTCTAACAAGTTACTTAACAGTACTTTTAAGAATCCCATTGTTCAGCAATCTACATACAGAAAAAGTGTATATATTAAATGAACTGTATGCATTACAACCACTTTTCCAGTAATTCTGTGAATGCATTCAGAATACTGACATTTAATTGCTGGTGTTTCCTGCAGTTGTATCAAGCAAGCAGAGAAACCATGATCTAGATGTTGAAATAAAAGAGGAGAATGGAAAGCAAATATGAACTGTACTACAAAAAGTCAGACAAATGTGAGGGAGACAATCCTTTGCACTAGGCATTTGCTTCACTTGCAAGACAAATGAAACAGTGAAAAAAAAAAAGGAACTTTACTCTGACCTCATGCTTACATAAACCCTGTGGATTTAAGTGAATTTACTGTGGTATAAGAATCATGTTTACAAAATATAAATTAAAGCTTATATGTAAATCTATGTGTTTGGCCAATTAGAACTGAATGTTTACTATGGTGGAAAGGTTATGGTACAGGTCTAAACTTCATCCCATCATCTAATGGGATACCTTCTCCTTCCAATTAATCTCTTCATTCCCCTTCATCGATTCGTTGCCATTACATAGAATGATAGAATGGCCTGGCTGGAAAGGACCTTAAAAATCATCTTGTTTCAGCCTCCCCTGCCATGGGCAGGGACACCTTCCACTAGACCAGGTTGCTCCAAGCCCCATCCAGCCTGGCCTTGAACACTTCCAGGGATGGGGCAGCCACAGCTTCTCTGGGCAACCTTTACCAGTGTCTCACCACCCTCATAGTAAAGAATTTCTTCCAAATATCTAATCTAAACCTACTTTCAGTTTGAACCCATTACCCCTTGTCCTGTCACTACAGTTCCTGAAGAAGAGTCCCTCTGTGACTCCCTGGTAGCCCCCTGCAGATACTGGAAGGTGCTCTGAGGTCTTCACACAACCTTTTCCTCTCCAGGCTGAACAGCCCCAACTCTCTCAGCCTGACTTCATAAGAGAGGTGCTCCATCCCTCTGATCATCCTCATGGCCTCCTCTGGACTCACTCCAACAGCTCCATGTCCTTCCTGTGCTGGGGACCCCAGAGCTGGAGGCAGCACTGCAGGTGGGGTCTCACCAGAGCAGAGCAGAGGGGCAGAATCCCCTCCCTCCCCTGCTGCCCACACTGCTTTGGATGCAGCCCAGGACACAGTTGGCTTTCCGGGCTGCCAGCGCAAATGGCTGGGGCATATTGAGTTTTTCAACATCAGCTTTAACAGCCATCCTCTGACCTATCCATTAGTTTAATTCCATGCTGCCATTTCTTAACATTCACCACCTCTATATTTTTCCCACCAGTCTGCTCCCATATATTCAAATGTTATATCAAGATAGTATTTCTATCACTGTCTGACTTTAAATATTAAAGCAGTCCTACTGAAATCTATGAATCGTTGTCCATACTCAAAGTTATGATGTCCTGGGACACACAAAATAAATAACTTTTTTGTTTTCTATAGGAGAATTTTGATTTTATTAAATGTGTGTCACTGCACTGGTAATATATACTGGACACACACATATACATACATATATACTTATATATTTATATTTGCAGATTTTTTTTCAGAAATATTACTTGTGTGCCTTACACATTTTTTCCACCTGAAAAATAAGCTAAGAGGATTTTGACACAAAGAGCATCATGGCATCCTACTTCCTTGGTCTCCATTAAAATAGCTCTCAGAGAATTTATTTATAAATAATCTTTCCATGTTTTGCTGCAGTCTAACAAAATATAGCCAATCTTGCTGTTCAGATTACCAAAGAAATACTTGTGATACTTTTCTTGTTATAGAACGGTTTTACATCAGTGGTAATGTATTTTTAAGATGTCATTGGAAACTACTCAGATGCACTATTAACTGTCACGATGAGTAATTTTCCTTGATTCATAAATTTAAAGGGCCATTACACTTCCTGTATATTTAATCAAAAATCTACCAGACTGGTATAAACTAATAATATAAAAGGCTTTGAAGGTCACCGTGTGGTCCAAGTCCTGCTGTAGGTGGGATTCTGTCCAGCTCAGCTGCACAGACAGGCACAAGGAGTCACTGTGACTTCTTTCGGTTTAAAACAGCGCCTCACCCTCACATCGCTTTTTTGCCAGCCGGAACATTCAAGTGTTTGTGCCGTGGTTCCACCTCGTTATCCCTACTTCCACCCCGGGTGGCTTTGCCTTCGGGAAACGCACTAACAGGGACAACGCTCTTCTTTGAGAAGTTTAAGCTTTCCTTAAAGAAAAGTTTATTCTGTTGCAACAAATGTCCTTGAGCTAATGATGATCTCCCAGTTTCAAAACAAACAACTAAACGAACATAACGGAGGGAAGGGCTGCTGGATACAAGACAGCATAGCCCCCGGGATGCGCGGGGGAGGAGAGGGATGCTCCCGGATCCGCTGCCCGCCGCTGCTCCGCGCTCCAGGGCGGGCGGGCGCTCGGCCAGGGCACATCCCCGCGTCCAGCCCCGGCTCCCGCGCTCGGGGCGGGGAGGCGCCTCCTCGAGCACGTTAAAAGTTTGGGGCGGCCCCGGCGGCGCGGAGGAGGGGGAGCCCGGGCGGCGCGGGCGCTGCGCCCCGGCTGCCGCACCTGCTCCGCGGGCACCGCGCCCCCGGCACCGCCCCGCTCCGCGCCCCCGGCCCTGCTCCGCCGCCGGGAAGATGGCGAGCCCCGGCCTCCGCCTGCTGCTCCTCGGTTACTTGGGGGTCCTGAGCTGTAAGTGCCGCGTCCCCTCCCCGCGGGGCTGTCGCGTTCCGCTGCCTCCGGGAGCGCCCCGGCTCCCGCTCCGCACGGCGCTGGGCTGCGGGGGGACGCTCCCCCCGAGGTGTGGCTGTGTATCCGTGTCTGCGTGTGTTCCCGCAACCCCGGGACGGGGGGGAGGGTATCGCTTCCCCTCCCTCGCCCCGGAGCCAGAGGAGCCAACTCGCATCTCCAGCAGCGAAACGCGAGCGAACGCCGCAGCCGGGGCGGTGCGCGCTGATTATTTCCATGTGTCTCTTGTTTTCACACAGATGTAACCTGTTTAAGCCCGGCCTGTTTGAGCGCAAGCCAGCGGTTCTCTGCCGCCGTGCAAACTTTAGGATGTGGGCTGCGTAGTTTGCGTTTCTGATGGCCTTTACAAGGTGAATGAGCGAGGGACCGCGAGTGTGTTTTGTGTTGACGGCGCTGAATGCTGCTGTTCCAGGACAGAGTTCTGTGTCCAATATTTTTTATGGTCCTTTTAACTCCTTAAAAACTGGAGGGGAATAGGGAATATTAGAATAAATTGGGAAAAGGTTCCCCACCCAGAAAGCGTATGGAAATAAGAGAAAAACAGATCACGGGGCCAGATACCTGTGGAGAAGCAGTGAATTAACACACAGCGTTACAGTGCTAGTCGTGTTAAGGCTGTCAGTTTCAGATCACATCTTACAGTGCTCCTGTTCTATGCTTCTTGTGTCTTACTGGTGTTTTAGGGAAAGAGGTATAGGTGGAAATAGTGTTTTGAGAAGACTTACGTAGCACAGTTGTGCAATGAAATAGTCTAGGATGGGTTCTCAGTGCATTACGGATATGGCGCATCCAAGGTGCTCATGCTGGGTATGTTTTGAGGTTTACCTTTCACTCCTCCTCACGTAACAGAAACTGAAGTGTGGAAACTCCTCTTTTTGCAGATGAGTCCTGTTTAGGAGAGGCTTGAAGTGATGTCTGTGTGATAGGTCTTTGGCTTCATGGTGGTTTCTCTTTTCCTCTCTCTTTGCTTCTGCAAGACTTTAGGGAAACGTTGGGCTGTTAGATGAACAGCTAGCGCAGACTTTCTCTTTCATATAGTGAATAATAATAAATACTATTTTCTTTGTATTTTTTTCCTTCATTTGTTCTTAATTGCATTTGTACATCTGAGTCACTGAGCTGTGGGGTTTTTTTGTTGACAGGTTTTGGTTGTTCAGGCTGCTCAGCTTTCTGATTAGCTGTGTCTGTTAGCAGTGCTGGCTTTGACTAGTGAGGAAATGATAGAGCGTGGTTTGGAAGCAGTACAGTGCATCGCAGTCTGGTGCCTACATTGTTCTAAGACTTACTTGTTTGGGGTTTTTTTCCTCTTCCTGCCCCAGTTCCCAAAAAAACACCAGGTGGGAAGCAGGTTTACCAGCAAGGTGCTGATAAGAAGTCTTTGCATGAAGTGACTGTAGGTGTGTGGCTGTGCAGATGCTGATTGTTTGTGAGCCAGAGGAAATCTAGGCAGAAATTCAGCGGCAGCCTGGAGCCTGCTGCTGCTGCTTCTGTGGCTGGAGCGCGTTCACACGAACAATAAGGCTGAGTAATTCTGGCATCCAAGTCAGGCATATGGGCTGAGCAGTCTCTTCTGTGGGACCCACGTGCTCTGGAGAGGGTGGGGAGTGGCCAGAAACTAGTGAGGGGAAAAAAAGGAGTGATCGATACCCGACAAGCAGAGTGGGTGGGAGTTGGTCTCTTCTCCCAGGCAACCAGTGACAGGATAAGAGGACACAGCCTCAAGCTGGGCCAGGGGAGGTTCAGGTTGGACATCAGGAGGAATTTCTTCACAGAAAGGGTTGTAAAACGTTGGAATAGACTGCCCAGGGAGGTAGTGGAGTCGCCATCCCTGAAAGTGTTCAAGGAACAACTAGACATGGCACTCAGTGCTCTGGTCCAGTTGATAAGGTGGTGATTGGTCAAGAGTTGGACTCTGATCTTTTCCAACCTAAATGATTCTGTGATTATATGATTATATTGTGGGGCAGGTGTAGAGAACTTTCTTGGTAGCTGAGCTGCAGAAATTAAAAGCTGCATAAGTTGGTCACAGGACATTTTCAGTGAGAACCTACTAAGAAATATTCATGACCTGCAGAACTAGTGCTTTCTCTAAGCTAAGCCTTGCCTTTCACCTTTAATTAAGGGGAAAGAAAAGGAGTTGGGGATCTTTAATCATGTTATCTCTCAAGCTTCTGGACCTGATGGTATTGGGAAAGTTTTAAAAGGTGCCATAGAGCACTTGTGATCTCTGTTGACAGGACAGAAAATGTACAGAAATTATTGTTATTAACTCTCATGGCTACTCTGGAGGAGAAATGTACTTATGAACTGGCCTTTCTGTGAAGCTTCTAAATGTGATTTTTCTCGCATTAATGTACATTAAAATTAAACTTAAGAAGAATTTAAACTTAAGTTGGTGATGTTGGAGGCTAATCCAGCAGATGTGTCTGTGTGAGGACAGTGCAGAGGCAATTAATAGTACTCTTGCATAAATATTCGATGGTGCTCACCGGGATAGTTTGATTGAGCAATAAATAAGGTGATATTTTGTTTGTTTGTTTATTTTGGCTTTAAAAGCCCTATTCCTTATTCCTTAGGAATCTTTCAGTCAGATACAAAAGGCTTTTTGTTCTAGAAACTCTGTATCTTTCTCCCCCATGCCCAACAATCAATGACTGCATGACTGCATTAACTGTAGGAATTAATAGTGGAAGTCTTTAAACTATGCTGTCTTGACTATATGTGTTGTACAACTGATGTACTCAAATTTAAGAATACTGCCAACCCCCAGTCTTCAGTTGAACCCTCTTTGCTAGATTAGCTTGGTAGGAACTCATTTCTAAATCAGACCATAATCAGGTGAGATGGGATTGCTTAAATTTGTAAGACTTCATACTTCTCTAGCAATAGCTGTTCACTGTAATGCTGTAAAGCAGACTACCTGGTTTTGAAGGGGCAATGAGGGGAAGAGGCATCAAAGGAAGGTTCCTTCTCTTGCTGTTTTAGGTGAGTAGCAGTTTTTCTTTGCTATGGGCTGCTCACAGTCTATAAACCTGCACAGTCTTAGACACCCTAACATAAGATGTGAGAGGAGAGTAAGCTCCTTAAATATAGACAAACAAATGAAAGCTAACTACAGAAAAGCAATATGTGTTTCTGTCTTCAGCCTAACACTTTTCTTTAATGACTGTGGTGACACTGCACAAGGTACCCAAATGCTTCTCTGAGAAGCTGGTGGGAAGACTTTCCTGTCTTTGAAAGGGAGACATGTTTCTCTCTAGCTCATTTTATAACCTTCACAATTTCACCCTTTGGGTTAGATCCTCAGGGCTCAGAAGAAACTGGCTGTGAGTTACTGGCACGTCTTCCAGAAATCATGGCCTTTGCTGCATTTCAGCAAGTCATGCTGTTTTGCTTAAACCTAGGCATGCTGCTTGGAAGTGGCTCTGAATTCCTAAGAGGACTCAGCCAGAAGCACTGCTGTTCTGTGGCAGGGGTTCTGTCTCTCTCTAGCAGAGAGAGCTGGTCACTGATGGCCCCATAGTACCCTTATTTTAGGTTCCTGGCCCCATAGTCTGCTATTGGATGAGCAAAAGAGAAAATAAGGGTGACTGTCTTTCCTCGCTGCAAACAAGAGACAGGAAATATACCTGGAAGTGTCATGTCAAGACAGTCACGTTTTTTCGTTTCCCCTGTTTAAGGTAGATATATGCAACGGGAGGACTTGTTTTTGTTGTTGCTTGGCCTCTGGGAGCCTGTTTTCTCAGCTTTAAAGTTGCAACAATTCATTGTTCATGTTGAAGGATATCTGTTTCTGGGAACTGTGAATATCATAGGGCATCTGGCATTAATGATGAGAGTTAAAACTACCACTGTGATTAGCAGATCTAATTGAGCCTGGATGAGGTCTTCCTATTGGTCATTTAACTGAATTACACAATGATATTTTTGTGATTATTTCCTGTATTATACCTATAATTCCTACTGCAGCCTGTTTTGGTAGCTGCCAGGTTCTGCTGCAGAAACTGGCTGATGCCAGTGCAAATGATTAGGTAAGAAAGCAGAAGTAATTGAACTTTGACATCACATTTTCTGTTCAGCTGACTGATTTAACAAAACATCTGGGTTCACCTTTCATGACCTAGAGCTACTAAACTTGTCCGCACCCACTGACTAACCCCAAATGTTATTTGGGGTGTGTGCAGACCCGTCTTTAAAGAAGTGAGCTAAAAAAGTTAGAGGGGGTGTTTACCCTTCCTCAAAGGCTGCCCCAGGTGCTGCTGGTTGCTAGAGAGGAGTCCTCTTGTTCAGTGTGGGAGAATCTTCTTGTACAATTCTTAATATCTTCTGATATTAAGAAAATTCAGTTTCTTCATAAATTCACAAGTAAATAATAGTGATAGTTCTTCACTGGAGATAGTGACATGCATGTGAACCTTCTGTAGTAAGCAAGCTTCCCTTGTTTGAGGGGGATTAAATTTGGGTTGATGATGCTTTTGGAGGGTCAGGAACAATTTTTAGTAATAAAAGTTTACATCTGGTATGATCTACTTAGAGTCCATCAACACTCAAAATGTCATCTTTCTGTTGGAGCAGTTCTGTTTACACAGTCTATACTGGCTTCCTGCACCTGGCAATCCCTTTTAGGAACACTTTTCTGAAAGTAAGGCTTAGTGTCTTACTTTCCCTTTGCGATGCTAGAGGTGACTCCAGTGCAAATGCTTATGTAAAGGAAAGTTACTAAGAAATGTGGACACAGCCAGAAACATCCACATCACAATATAAATATCTTGTATATTAAAGCAGTCGAAGCACAAGTTAGACATTTGTATTTGCCCTTGCAGACTGTTTGCCAGGGCCATATGGAATGGCTAAATTAAGGTTCCCTTGAAGTTATACAACAATATCAAGCAAAAAAAAAAGGCATAAAATAGTGTCTCTGTGGATGTATACAATGAGCTGTC